ACATGATGTTTTTAAGAAGGTACTCTGCACAGGTACAAAGGACAGGGGACTCAGGAAGTTGGCGATGGGGCTGGGAGGTTTAAAGCTATGGCTTTGGTGAGCACCCAGGTGAGCAGAAGGAAGGCATTGTAAGTAGATTCTGCAGCATCAAGGATAATTCTCTAAAAGAGGCGGGTGTCTTCTTGATTGATTAAATTCTGAGGCTTTCAGAAGTTGAGTGCTACCAACAATATCTAAAGGAAAGAACCATGTGACAAAGCTAAGAAAGGTGAATGGCTGACATTAGGCTACATATGATGGTGGTGGTTGTAAAAAGACTTTGGTGGTATGCCTGGACAAGAAAGTAATCGATACACAGACCACATAACACCATTAAAACCAAAAAAACATTTGTTTCATTTAAAAAAGTATCGAGGACACATAAAACAAGGCAACATTTACTCCTTCTTCTCGTCTTCTGGCATGGCGTCTGTGGGGGGCTCCTCGACTGTAGCACTGTTGCTCTCCGAGCCAGTATTGCTATCACTGGTCCCTTCCTCTGCCATGCTGTCCACCCCCTCCTGCCCACTCTCCTTGTCCTCAGGGGTAGACGTGCCCTCTTCACCATTCTGTTGGCTCTCTGTTGTTTCTTCAAGGTGCGTCTCCTCTGTCTCCATGGGAATGCTCTCCTCGTCCTTCTCCTCGGCTTTGCTTGCGGCCTGCTCTTCCTTGGGGGCGACGCTGCCCTGACTGTGCTCGGCTTGCTCTGACTGTGCTCGGCTTGCTCTGCCGCCTCCTTCTCCCGCTCCTCCTGCCTCTTGCGGGCCTGTTCTTCTGCCTGTACAATTTCAGCTGCAATTTTTTCCATATCGACTTCTACCTTCAGGCCGCATAGCCTTTTAAGTTCATTGTTAAAGGAGTCTGTGCTTTCCAGGAATTTCCTCTTCTTTTCCTGATGTCGTTCCTCTATTTGAAGAAGTTCGGCTTCTAGTTTTCGCTGATGAACCATTAAAGACTGGACCTGCCGCTTGAGGACCTGCATTCTAGCTGTTGTGACAACTGAGCGCACGTCTGGCACCACACTCTCACTGAGGATTTCACTGATGAGGCGGTGGTTTCTCTGGAAACGGGCAGTGGCTGTATGCTTCATTGAAAAGCCATCGTCATAATCATCTGGATCCTCGGCAGGTTGAATGCTCATGTAGGGTTCTCCTTTCTCCATGCGAGACTGTCTCTGTCGACTTTCTTCCTCTAATGCAGCTTCGGCACGACTTTTTGCGTTGATGTATGCAAGATATGCAGGGGAATTATGATAGGCCTTCATAGATTCATTGTACTCTATCTTTTCTGCTTCGTATTCGTTTAAATATTCCTGTTTCTCTTCATCAGTGAGATCTCGCCACATGCCACCAATAATCTTGCCAATCTCCCACAGCTTTAGGTCAGGGTTGGAAGCCTTTACTTGGTCCCAGACCTTTCTGCTGTACCTCATGTAGGGCATCAGAGGCTTATCTGGTGGCTTTGGGGGCTTTGGAATCGTAATACCAGAGGATGCCATGACCCGGCTGTTGGTGCCCGGGTTCCCTCCCAGCCTGTAGTTGTTGTAGGCGAGATGACTGTATGGATTGTATCCCACAAACCCTGGTGTGCTGGGCATTTGTGTTGCAGGAGCTGGGGTGGGAGGTGGGGCATAAGATGGTCTTTAGAGGCGGGTGTCTTCTTGATTGATTAAATTCTGAGGCTTTCAGAAGTTGAGTGCTACCAACAATATCTAAAGGAAAGAACCATGTGACAAAGCTAAGAAAGGTGAATGGCTGACATTAGGCTACATATGATGGTGGTGGTTGTAAAAAGACTTTGGTGGTATGCCTGGACAAGAAAGTAATCGATACACAGACCACATAACACCATTAAAACCAAAAAAACATTTGTTTCATTTAAAAAAGTATCGAGGACACATAAAACAAGGCAACATTTACTCCTTCTTCTCGTCTTCTGGCATGGCGTCTGTGGGGGGCTCCTCGACTGTAGCACTGTTGCTCTCCGAGCCAGTATTGCTATCACTGGTCCCTTCCTCTGCCATGCTGTCCACCCCCTCCTGCCCACTCTCCTTGTCCTCAGGGGTAGACGTGCCCTCTTCACCATTCTGTTGGCTCTCTGTTGTTTCTTCAAGGTGCGTCTCCTCTGTCTCCATGGGAATGCTCTCCTCGTCCTTCTCCTCGGCTTTGCTTGCGGGTGGCTTTGGGGGCTTTGGAATCGTAATACCAGAGGATGCCATGACCCGGCTGTTGGTGCCCGGGTTCCCTCCCAGCCTGTAGTTGTTGTAGGCGAGATGACTGTATGGATTGTATCCCACAAACCCTGGTGTGCTGGGCATTTGTGTTGCAGGAGCTGGGGTGGGAGGTGGGGCATAAGATGTGACATTTGACATTTTGGAAGATTAAGTTCTCAGTTCCTTAAGAATGAATCTGAGACACCGCGGGCCAAGAGGGCGCCCACAGCTCCGGCTTCGCTTCCCTTTGTCCCGCGCTCGCCCCCTGTTTTTTTTTTTTTTTTTTTTTTAAAAAACAAAGCAGGTTATTAAAAAAAAATAAACATAACGATGGTGGGGCGTGGGGCATAAGATGGTCTTTTTGACATTTTGGAAGATTAAGTTCTCAGTTCCTTAAGAATGAATCTGAGACACCGCGGGCCGAGAGGGCGCCCACAGCTCCGGCTTCGCTTCCCTTTGTCCCGCGCTCGCCCCCTGTTTTTTTTTTTTTTTTTTTAAAAAACCAAGAAGCATGTTAATAAAAGATAACTGAACTGAAGCTGGTGTGACTATCAGAAGAGTACTGATGGGGAAAAGGGTCTCAAAACTAAGTGGGGACTGGGGAGATAGCTCAGTTGGTAAAGTGCTTGCTGCTCATATATGAGTACCTGACAATCCATGTAAAAATGCCAAATATAGTGGCAAGCACTTACAAATCCAGGAGATGCCTGGAGCTTGCTGGTCAGTCATCTAGTCATGAGTTCTAGGCCAAAGAGAGATACTGTCTTAAAGAAGGTGGACGGCACTCCTGAGGATGACACCTAAGGTTATCCTCTGGCCTCCATGTGTATCTGTGCACACACATACATTAAAAAAAAACCCAAAATGAACCCCTCCCCCAAATCCAACTTAAGGGGGAACAGTGGGAAAACAGAAAGGGGAGTGGACAACGATCAAAGTTCATTTCTGGATATTAGAGAATAAGTGTCTCGTGTCCGTCCGTGTTGTGTACCCCCTTGCCCCAGTACAGAGGTGAACTGAGCAATGCTAATAATGCCTTCCAGAGATAAAGTGTACTTCCCAGAGGCTCCTTTTCAGTCTTAATGAAAGACTGACCTACTTAGGGATTCCTTGTGCTCCATGTTAGCACAGGCCCAAAAGGACAGGTGACTGTCAATGCTGCCACGAAGAGTGTATGTTCTTCAAAGCCTTCTTTAGAATGTCCATTTGACAGCAATGCCCTCAGTCCTATCTCAGTCCACACATCATTAAACTTTCCGCATTTAAGAAGAGCTAATATACCTTCATAAGCTCTTCCCAAACCCAGTGTTTCCTAACTCATTGTGCAAAGTCAATATCATCCCAATACCAAAACCAGGTTGAACACACGAAGAAAATTATACGCTTATATCCCTTAGGGGATACAAATGCAAAAATCATTAATAAAATACTAGCAATCTAGCTTTTCTAACATATAAAATGTTACACACAATTACCAAGTACTTTTTATCCCAGAAATGCAAAATTACTTTAATGAAAGTCAATCACTGTAACATACCATATTAATAGCATCATTAGGTTTAGAAAAACCATGTGGCAAAATCCAACAGTCCTTCATGATAAAAGCACTCAGTGAACTAGAAATAGAAGGGATCTTCCTTAATGTGACAAAGTCACATGGTTACTGCCGAAACACTGAATGCTTTCCCACTAAGAATAAGAACAGGACATGTATGTCTGCTCTTTTAGCTTCCTACCCCATTCTACTGGAGGTTGTAGACAGGTAATTAGGTAAGAAAAAAAAAATCTCACTTAAGAGGAGGAGGTAAAGCTATCTGTTTGCAGATGACATTAAATGGCACATGGAATAATTCTTACTTCCCTCTTTACTTCATTATACCAGTGTTAAGATCTACTAACAGGCTGGAGATAACTCAGGATCTCTTAAGAGCACTGTCTGCTCTTGCAGAGGACCCAGATTCTGTTCCTAGCACCCACACAGTGGCTGACCACTGTTTGTTAACTCCAGCTCCAGGGGATTTGATACCTTCTTCTGGCCTCCATGGGCACCCTACATATGTGGTTCACTTACCTACATGCAGGCAAAACATATACATAAAATAACAAATAAAATCTTAAGAAATAATGTACTAATAATTACAATTATTAAGTGACTTCAGCAGTCACAGGAAAGCAGATCAATAAATAAAAGCCATTTGTCTCGTGAATGGTCTGAAAATAAAACTAAAATTTCATGTACAATAGCATCAAAAAATACACTTTAATAAAGAAGCGCAGGACACACACTGAGAGCTGTAAGGCATTGTTGAAAGAGATTAAAGTTCTATAGAAGTGGGAAGATATAAGATGCTTAAGGTTTAGGAGACAATATTGTTGTGATGGCAACACTCTTCAGAGTGAGCTACAGATATAACCCCTATCAAAATCCCAGCTTGCTTTCCATCAGAAACTGACATACTGATTCTAAAATTCATATGAAAATGTAAGGGACCCAGAATAGCAAAAAGAAATCTTGAGAAAAAACAAATGTGGAAGGTTTACACTTTCTGATTACAAAGGTTACGATCCAAAATGGTGCAGTAAGCCAGGCACAGTGGACATGGTTATAATCATAGCATCTGGGAGCAGGACATCCTAAGCTACCTAGTGAGTTCCAGGCCAGCCTTGGCTACGTGTGAATCTGTCACCAAACCAAACCAAATCAGACCTTATACCACTAGCATAATGATATGGTAGGTAGATCAATGAAACAGAAATTTCTGAATTCAGAAAAGAAACTCTCACATTTATAATCAACTGACATTGTGGTGATGCACATGAGTAATTATAACTACAGTAAGACCAATGAGCTATACAGGTTCATAAGGTGAATGTCACGATGTGTGAATATCTCAGAAATATGTTAAGTTTTTCTTTTCTAAAAGTCAGAGAACCACAAAGGATTTTGTTTTACGTTATTAAGTACCCTTGAATGGTCTATAGCCTTGGAAGATATTCTGGTTAAAAACAGGAGGAGTTAGAAAGGTATTTAATGAAGCTCATTCACACACTGGTCTATTCTGTTGGTAGCACAGAAGAACAAGGGAGAGCTGAGATCTATATCCACATAATATGAGAATTAGCAATCTAAGCAGAAAACACATGAGGCATGGTAAAGTAAACAAGTGATTTCTACATACACATACATGAAGTTGTCAACTTCGATTTTATTTTTAAGTAGTCACTTTTGGAGCCTGTCTGTACTTTAACTGTGAGGGTTCTAAGGATTTTGTTTTGTTTAGAAAAATCATTGAATTCATGTGATTCAAGACTATCACTCCATAGAGTTGTTAACAAGACGATTATTCTAAAGCTTGGTCATCCATTTATTCAGACTAGGTTGTTAATGTTTCTTTAGGGGGTGTTTTAAGAACAAATTCACACTCAAAGCATAATTACTAGACACAATTGAGAATATTTGGAAGAATGTGTTAAAAGCTGGTCTAAAAGTGTTGATGTGATTAATTTTTTTTCTTTTGCTTTCTATAGAGAACAGTTTAAAAGTGCTTTTAAACTAAAATGCTATGAAATTACAAAAACTCAAAAATTTTAAAGAAAAAAAAAATGCTATGAAGTTTCAATATCAGGGAGCTTCCTGCTCAAATCACAATGGTAACCTGCTTCTGCATCTTCAGCACTATAACCATCTTAATCTAAACCCTTCACCTTTCATTTGAGCCACTGAAACCAACTGCCTCACTCTTGTTCCCCTCAGGTCCAGTTGCCAGAGCAGGTGGAACAAAGTCTGCCTGAGACTTCTCTAAACCAGGACTTGGTCTCTGTTGGCCTCCTCTGCTCACAGATGCTCAGGGAACAGGCCAATTTCCTTCCTGCCTCAGGCTCTGAGCTCTCTATTCCCTGTTTCTAGAATGCTTTTTCTGTTCCTGCCTAACTGGCTTCTTAGGCTGATGTCACTTTTCAGAAGAATTCTGAAACTCCAGTGTCTGCCACATCCCAACTGCCAGCAGCAGTTCATGTGATTCCTGTCATTTGCCACCCAAACAAAGTTGTCCCCAAGGAGGACAGCACTATCAGCAGGCCTGGTTAAATACTGTTTTCCCAGTGCCTAAAAAAGGCCTGACTCCCTCAGAATGCACTAGTGAAAACTCTACTAGATTCTCCTAAATCACCAAAACCTGAACATTTTTCCAAGTCTACTGAAGTAGATTTCCAAAAATTCCTGTGCAGTTATCTTTTTGGGGGAACACAAACAAATGCCCGTTCACCTCAGATAGGGCACTGACAACAGGCCAAAGAAGTGATTTCACAAGCCTAGCTTAGTGATCTAGCGAGTTTCCTGATGTTATTTACAGGAGGAAAGGTGACAGTACAACAAAGCTGTATCCGAGGTTACAGGTGGCTTGATTAGCCTCCTCTCTCCAGCAACTGCTGTCATCTATTAACCTTGGGGAGGGGCTTTCTGACTCTTCCAAGTTTCACACCCTGAGTCTTAGACACTTTTTCTCCTTCTAGGAGGGAATGCCTCAATTTAGAGGAAAGAGCTACATAATACCAGCCCAAGAAAGTTCTCAGAGAAAACTGGCAAGTCCTATGACTGATTTGTATAGTTTCTATTAAGCCCTGAGTATGTATTAAACAAACATATACATCCTGCATTTAAAAAAAAAAAAAAAAAGATTCTGGTGGGGGTGGGGCTGGAGAGATGGCTCAGGGGGTAAGCGCACTGGCTGCTCGTGCAGAGGTCCTGGGTTTGATTTCTAGCAGCCACATGGTGGCTAACAGTTGTCCGTAACTCCAGTTCCAGGGGATCTGATACCATCTTTTGACCTCTGTAGCATTGCAGGACACGACCCTTACTTATACACATGCAGGCAATACACTCATACACATAAAATAAAAAATTAAAAAAAACATCTTTCTATAAAACACATTGCTACTTCAAGTCAAACTAAAAAAATTACTCTTCTGTAATTCTTTTTTCTCTTTTTTATTACCTTAAAAATTTAACATAAAAATTAACAGGTTTCATTGTGACAGTTAATTTGCATAATAGGCATTATTATACTTTGTTCTTATTTGCTTTACCCTTTTTTCCTATATTAGTAAGTGGGAACCCCAAAATGCTTTGGACTAATTAATAACATTATACTTACGCTGGGAGAAGCTTATATTTGTCCAAATCAATTTCTGGAAAAAATGTGTCACTTTCAAATTCCTGCATGATCCTCGTCACAAATAGTTTAAGATGGCCTGGCTGATTCATGGCTTCCTTTAAAACAAAACACAAGGTATCACTCTCTTTAATCTGTGTTCAAAGACAAAGAAACCATAAGATGTTTGTTTTAGTTCAGTTTGTTCTACATGTCTACTATTGTGCAAACAGTATGTATTTATACACATATATTTTAAGATTTATTTATTATTTTTTAAATTTTTATTTATTATTTTTATTTTATGTGTATGAGTGTTATGTCTGCATGTAGGTAAGTACACGTGTGTTGTGTAATGCCCTCAGAGGACAGAAAAGGCTGTCGGATCCCCTGGAACTGGAGTTACGAACAGTTGTTAGCTGCCATGTGGGTGCTGAGATTTGAACCCAGGTCTTCTGCAAGAACCGTCAGTGTACTTAACCACTGAACCATCTCTCCAGCCCCAAGATTTATTTTTATTATTTCAAAAATATGTATATATGTTTCTGTGTATGTGGCTATGTGTATGTGAGTACAGGTGTCCATGGAGGCCAGAAGAAGGGTGCTGGATACCTGAGAGCTAGAGTTACAGGTATGAGGTCCCTAACGTGGGTGTTAGGAACCAAGCTCAGGTACTCTGTAAGAGCAGTGTGTGCTCGTAACCATGGAACTGTATCTCTCCAGCCTTATAATTTGATAGATTTATAGACAAAATTGCCCTGGAAGAATTATCTCAAATTTTTAATAGAAAGGATGATTCTTAACTACAGATTCAAGAAAACAATAATTTTTGATCCTTAAACATGAATAAAGAAAAAAAATATTTACACATATATAGACATATATAAAATTCTTGGTTTTCTGTTTATTTTTATAAAATTCCAAACAGGACTATGGAACAAATTTTGTTTTTATTTTCAATATTTCAACTTACATTAAATCATTTAGTATCACTGCTGCTATCAAATAAATAGGGTTCTTATTTGTATAGCAAAATCAGCCAGACAATACTATACTAAAATGAGCATGGCTGGGGTCCAGTGTAACCTCATCATATGGTACATGAGGACAGGCCCAGATGCTCTACAACAGGAGAACCTATCACTTGCAGGCTTTACTTCCTAATTATCGATCAAATTATATAAGCGCATTTAATTACTTAGTGTTGCTGGTCATGGTGGCACACACCTTCAATAGCTCAGCACTTGGCAGGCAGAGACAGGCAGATCTCTGTGAGACGGAGGCCAGCCTGCTCTACACTGGGAGTTCTAGGCCAGTGGGGGATATATGGAGACACTGTATCAACAAACAACAAAAAACCCCAAATAAACAGGAGGGTACTTAGTGTTTCCAGAATTCATTTTCAAGTATATTACTGTATTACTAAAATGTCGATAAGTACTCAACCAACCAAATAACTAGTTTTCTGGAAGAAACTGATACTTGGATGAAAAAATAAATACGTTATTTTATAAGTGGAGAAAAGATGTCATAGAAAGAGGAATATGAGATAAAATGTTTATAAACTCATTTAGGAACCTACAATACCTTTTCTTTTGCAAATCATTTCAGTGTATATATGTTAACATATGCCTGAAAGGGTGGGAACTAATTTTCGTTCTCTTCATAAATGTTAATCTTTTCAAAGAATATCCTTTAAAAAATTTGAAGCTGGAAGTCATTTAGTATCATCAGGGAAAATGAGTATTTTCTCTTTCACACACTATTTTCCCGTAGGCTATGAAATCCTGTCACTTTTCTGCCCTCACATCACATGAAAATTGCTGAAGAAAAGCTTTCCACTTCTACCACATTCATAGACAATCAGCTTCCCCTATGCTGATTGCAATCCCATGCTTTTATCAGTAAGGTATTTATCCTGGGAGCAAAGGAACACAGCACATCTAGGGCACACGTGAGGAGTAGAAAATGTTGAGTACAAGCTCGATTCTCAAGAAGAAATTCAGAGTGATTTTTAAACTAGAAATACGTATTTTGAAATGAAATAAACCCATGTGGGAAGATGTTGGTCAAAGGACACATTTCAGTTATACAGGAAGAATAAGATCAAGGGATCTATCTATTGTTCAGCATGGGGACTATGATTAGGAACAATCTCTTGAAATCTGGTGAGAGTTGATTTTTAAGTGTTCTCACCATAATAAATAAATGAGGTAATGTTCATTAGCTCAATTTAACCATTCCAAAATGTATACATGTTACAAATCATGTTGTACACTATAAGATAACTGTTTGCCCATTTTAAAACAGATTAAAAAATAAAGCATTAAAGTAGAGGAGGGAAGTTTGGGAAGATGAAGGGTGTTCAGAGAAGGTAATGGTGGGGTAGATGTGATCCAAAGCACATCAGAGTGACAATGTCATAATGAGACCCATGACCCTATGCTAATAAAGCACATAAATAAAAACAGATGGGCACAGACCAAAATTTCTACACTTGCATTTTTATTTTGCCTAAGTGTCAAACAACTATTTACTGTGACAACATGTCTAACATGGTAGGAATAATGTGCTGTTTCCTACCCTTACGTTTAATGCTGTAAAGTTTCAGACACCAGGTTTCCCCAACTTCTCTTTAAATGGCAAGGCTGAAAGAAAGCAAGGAAGAAATTTCTTTTTATTTACAAATAACTTTACTTACCTTATAAACAGAACTGCCTCCGACTATCCAAACCATGTCTACTTTATTTGCTAATTCTGGTTGTTCAATAAGTTTTAAAGCATCATCCAGACTTTTGGCAAGAAAATGAGCTCCTGGTGGAGGGTCCCTGAAGTTAAAAAGAGAATTAATGGTTTTTGTAAGGCCTATCTACGCTAGTCAAATAATCTAAATAGGAAGCGGTCATTACAAGACAAATCATGAAAATGAATTCTTTCAACAGAAAGCACTTAACATTAGTATGACCTACAACAAACATCCACTCTACATTTTTTATGCATATGGTATAGATAAATCAAAACAAAAAAATATGTGATATTCATATGATAGAGGAAGAAAATCACAACAGTAGTTATCTCTCTGTGGAGGGGTAAGCATTAATTGGGAGAGAGAATGAAGGGACTTTCTGGGGCTTTGACAGGGCTTGAGTCACACAGGTATAATTCTCAAAATCTAACAAATGTACACTTAAAACTTGTGCAGCTCATTGTATGTAATATTTACTACAATAAAAATACACTAAAGAAATACTAGAAATACATTCCAGCTAATGATACTTATGACACATTTGGGAAAATATTCTATTACCTGTACTTTATTTTGAAATGTACATGCACACAATCAACTGGGTGGATGGGCATGATAAAACCAGCACAATAAAAAGTTAATAGTAGAATCAAGGTGGTGGGTATACAGCTATTTAATGAAAACTTCATTCTGTATGTTTGAAAATTTTCATAATATATTGGACTGAGAGATGTCTGAATGACTAGAAAAAAATTGGAGCAATGTTCAGGAGCAATGTGTGGTTACCCTTGGGGAAGGGGGATAGGACTTTCATATTCTGAACAGTAATGAGAGAAGTATTTGAAAAATGAGCTTGATATCAGTTATATAATTAATATCCAGAAGGGAAAAAGTTAAGTAATTTCACTGATTATATTGACTAGCCCAATCTATCTTAAATTTTAGAACTTTTTTTGTGTGGGGGGGGTAGGGAGGAGAACAGCAATTCCCCTTATAAATGAAGGAACACACACAACTAGGTTTTCAAGTAATTAGATACAGAACAGAATTATGATTCAATGTTAAGTTCTTAGTCTGGTGCTTTAAGAAGATTACATAACTGTCTTTGAATAAGTAGTTCAAACAATGATTAATCAAGGACCTACTGGGGATTATTAACGCTGCTGGTGCCACTCTCCCTCTCTTCCTAATACCTAGTTTGCTTTTTTCACTCTTTGTCACGTATAAGGGAATTAGGACAGTGTAAAGAATATACTTTGACTTAAGCTGGCAAAAGAAACCGAGGCCAGGGTGAGTTAAAGGAGCTGAGATGTTGCCAAAAGTTGTAAGGGCAGCTGTAAGGAGGATGTGGGTGTTCATGGAGAAAACTGGATCTAGAAGGAAAAGAGATTTGGAGTCAGGGAAGTCATCCAGTGAGTACACAGTCTATGATGACCGGAATAGTCATGGTGGTTTCAGGAACAGGAGGGCAAAGTCAGGACTGACGACAGGAGGTGAAGCAGAACAGAAGACAGCAACTAAGGGACTGCTGGGCAAAAACTTGAAAACAGGATCCCTAAAGCTAACAGTGATAGGATTTCCAGGGTGACAGAAATGGTTGGTGTGCTCAGCATGCTTGAGGCCTTGGGTTTGTTCCCTAGTACAGTGGGGTAGGGGTGGGGGAATTCAGCAATAAAGTCCTGGACTTAAGAGTGCTCAACTCAGAACTCAAGAGTAAGAGGAACCTGCTCGGCTTCACAGAGGATCCTCTTTACCAGTCTCTCCCAGAGAGGCCTGAAACTCTCCTCTCTCAAGGGATTAGAGTTTAAGTCACGGTCACTCACAGCATGTTGACAGAAAATTTAGTGCCTTCTAACAACCTTTGCATACCTGAATTTAGTTATTAATTTACCTTGTCTAAAGAGTGAACAAACTTAAGGGGCTGAGAGATGGCTCAGTGGTTAAGAGAACTGGATGCTCTTCCAGAGGATCCAGGTTTGATTCCCAGCACTCACATGGTGGCTAACAACCATCTGTAACTTCAGTTCCAGGGGATCTGACACCTTCTTCTGACCTCCACAGGCATTGCACGACATGGGTGCACTTACATACATGCAGGCAATACACTCATAAACATTAAATAAAAATAAAATATTAAAAAGAGTGAACTGAGTCTTTTAATTTAAAAACAAGTTAACTTTCTCCTGACTGCTCCATTAAACAGAGTATTGCTGTCTATCTGGTGCCCTGTGCTTTTCCAGGAACTTACAACTAACAGTAGATTTATTTGCTAGAAGACAAATGCCCCATTCAGGTTCATAGTTAGTTCTCCTCTTTATTTAAAGAAGGGCTCTTTTTCTATCTTTAGGGTCACTCTGGCTCTTCATTTCAGGACATTTTCTTGGTTATCACACAAACCTAGTAATTCTCAAAGCAAATTCAGAATCCAGTGCTGTTTACTGAACTATTTTCAGAATAAAATGAATCTTGCTTATTATTAAATAAAAGACATAGTTCTAAGTGGGGATGGTGGCGCATGCCTTTAGGAAATGAAAAAAAGAAATGGTTGATGTGGTCTTCAAAAAAAGGGGGCAATAATTGAATAATGACCTGAGAGAGGCTAAAGGGATCAGGTAGAAGACTCTTTCCTGGCCCTTTGCATTGAGTCTAGAAATGAAAACTGAGCAGATCAAGGGTTTATTTCAGATTTAAGTTAGAGCAAAGGTACTGGGGTAACATTTGTGCAAAATGTTGCTATTGAACATTTAGAAATGTTTCATAGGAAGGGCAAAAAGCTGAGTTCTCATCTGAGTTCATCAGCCTCTTCAGAGCACACATCCAAGAGAACAGTGAACAGTAGTGACCATTCTATACTGGGACTTAAATTTTGTCACACTAATCCAGATTGGATTTCCCAAACTGGTAGGTGGTAACACAGAATTCTGTTCTAAGTGTGCAGACAAGCTTGATATCATGTTTCTAATGGGAGTCTTTTGGATTTTGGAGGATTATTTCAAACAATATAAGAGATACACATTTAGTACAAGCAGCTACCTTTTATAAGTGAGGAAATAAGATGAGGGTTAAGTAGCAGGTGGCCACACAGCCTGGAAATGGTAGGTCTGGGAGCTGACTCCTGCACCCTGAGTTGAAGCTGGAGCTGCAAGATGTTACATATACAAGACTTTCAACTGGCAGCCCCTGGCAATGGTTACTTCAGATTGTGGGTCCCCAAGACATGAGGATGGTGGGGCCTGGATTAGGCCGAGTCCTCTGGCCTCCAGAAGCCTCATCTGATTACTCCACAATACCATTAAAAACCTTCTCTTTCTTCACTATATCTGATGTGAAAGAAAATGGCAGCAGGGTAGATGGAATTCTGGCCCACTTTCTTTGGGGACTATTGGGAAACTACTTAAAGACAAACAATAAAAACAAATCCAAAGCCAGAATGGCATTTTAAGCAAAAGTCAGAAATATTTTCAATTTAAGACCATTCATACCCAGCCTTTAAATATGTGATTCCCAACTATTAAAAAATGATTCAAGTATGATCCATCCTCATGAAAGAATACTAGGTAGCCACTGAGGATATTTATGTAAATTTATTTATTAATATATCAAGTAGGGAAAGGAGCAGGTTACAAAGGTGTCAGTGGAATGAACCTATTTTTACAATAGTTAGGGACCACTCATTCTGTGAAGACTCCTAAACTTCTAGTTTGCTGGATCCTATATGGTAGAGGCTGGGAAGAGAGATTTAAAATGTACAGTCCCCATACCCAAAAGAGTGTGATGATAATCAGAGAAAGGCTTCAGCAGTGGCCATAAAGTATGAGGGGGGGTAGACAAATTATTTGCAGAGGATGCTACTGGGGGTGGAGATACAGTGCATCATCTGTGGTGGGGCAATGAGGGAGCAGGTCTCCTTAGCAGAGTGTCAATGGAGGTAAAAACACACCCCAAAGCATGGAAGTAGCACACTACTATAGAAATTACTGTGGGTTATTATAAGTTTATTTAATACTTAAAAACTCAGGGGAAAGTTGAGGTTCAGAAAAACAGTAGTTTGTGGTGATGTTTATAACCTAAAGAGGAGGGCAAGAGAGCAAAGTTTCTAGTCATCCAGAATAAAGCTGCAGGCAGAAGGCAAGAGGTGATTTAGACAGGAGAGAATTTATGTCTTAGGATTCAAGGACTGAAGAACAAAGTGATTTGCTAAGGTGAACAAAATGAGATAATGAGCTTGTTCACTGTGATTCTTTTTATGTTAAAAGCCAAAAGATTTATGCAGTAAGAAGAAAAACCAAATTTGGTTTGCATAAATAAGGGAGCTTACGGATGCGAGGCAAGCTCTCTACCACTATGCTACCCTATCAGCTTCTAACATTAACATTCTGTAAGCAAATAATGTTTCCATAACATTATTTGGGGGACAGAAGTAAGAGCTAGCATCTGTGGAGTTCTATGTTGGGTCACTTTTTGCGAATGTGACAGAATACCTGAGGCAAATCAATTTAAGGGTGGAAAGATATGGTTTGGCACACTGTTTTAGTCTATAGATGGCTGGCTCCATTGTGTGGGTCTGAAATGAGGAAGAATCACAATGGCAGGGAATATGTGGTAGACCACAACTTACTTCATGGTGGGCAGGAAGCAGGTTCTTTCCACAGGGATGTCCTGAATGACCTACCTCCTTCAATTAGGCACCATTTCCTACTCCATTCAGCTATGAACTTATCAATCAATTCATTGATAAAGTTAGTTCAAGCCCCCATAAAGCCAATCATCCCTCAAAAGCCATTATCTTGCAACTAAGCTCTTAGCTCAGGAGCCTTCTGGAGACATTTCAGAACCTAAACCGTAACAGGTACCTTTTGTTTGTCAGATACCTTATATAGCAATTAAGAGGCAAGGTGTTTGAATTGGAGGTGAAGGCTTTAGGAAGAGGACATTTTCTTCACTAGAAAGAATATAGTAGACAGAACATAAAAAACCACTAAGCCATGACATTCAGATAGTTTTTATGAGACAATGGGCACTATGTTATCTCATGGAGGTAATTTTGGATTTCTTAAAGATGATGTCAAGCATACAGCATTGCAATGAAACTTCTTTATTTAATTTTTGGTTACCAAAAGCATTCACTCATTCATATACACCATTTTGTGTGTGTTTTTTGAGAAAGAGTCTTACTTCATAACCCAGTGGAGCTTCAAATTCACTCATAATCTTCCTGGTGAGCCCTTTTAAGTGCTAGGAGTATATGTGTGCTACCATGCCCGGTCTGACTAAGGCTGAAAAACTGCTTTATTGAGATACAAATCATACTCCAGGGCTCAGGATAGAGCTGAAAGCTAAAGCATTTGTATACATACTTGAGCCTCTGGGTGTGGTCCCCAAGACCACAAAACCAAAACAAATGGCCCTTCCAACAAATCATACATCATACAGTGCATCCTCCCAAGGCACATAAACCAGTGACTGTTAGTATATTCAGAGTTGTTCAGCCATCACTATCTCATACCTGTATAGCAGTCATGATCACCGTCCCTCCTCAGTTCTTTTAAAGTTAAAACTCTGACTGACTAGAAAGCTTTGCAGAAGTAGCCCCTCACTATACCTTATTAAGTAAATAGGTACTATACATATCTAGCATTTGTTAGTGACTTCTGGAGTTACCTTGAGGATCGTTGTTTTCCGGTATGGGGGAGGAGGCTAAAAAAGTTTAGTACCTTTAAAAGCCTGCATGAGAAATAGTGATTTGAGGGGTTCAGTTCCCAGCACTCATGTAGTGACCCACAACCTTCCATAACGCCAGTTCCAGAGGCTCTGATTCCCTCTCTGGCCTCCATTGACACTGCACATATGGGTGCACATACATACATGCAGAAAATACACTCATGCACATAAAAATAATTTAAAAAAAAATCAAATCCCAGCAAAAAAAAAAAAAGAGGGATTTCCATCTGCAGCAAAAAATACTCTCATGCACATAAAAATAATTTAAAAAAAAATCAAATCCCAGCAAAAAAAAAAAAAGAGTGATTTCCATCTGCAATGTCAATTCTTTCACACAGGCTCAGCAGGGGCTCAGAATATGCATCCAATTGACTAGCATGTAGAGAAGCCAGAGAAGGGAGAAAAAATGATCCCTAATAAAATCTTTTGCTAACTGATATTCCAACTTCACTAGGCTGGTTGATAATAAAGACTTTAAATTTTTTTTTCAGTCTTAAAAAAAGGCAAAACACACCAATAAATGTTATATATAAATATGTAAGAAGCAACCAAATCCAATTACATATACCACAGAGGGGTCATAAAGAAGAAATTAGACCCATCATTTGAAGAGAAATGCTGGCTCAACTGAGTATCTCCCCTCCTGAGACTTCTTTATATTTGGTTTAGCTCAAGTCGGACATAAACTTGAGTAGTATTCAAGAATATGTTATTAAAAAGTCTGTGGGAATGGCAATAGTCTGTGAATTCAGATTTTCCTAAGGAGAGTAATCTTCAGAATATCCTAGCAACCAGGACAAGAAACAGCATGAAGATGGAGGCAGATGGCAAGATGTACATCAATGTATCCCCTACCACCAGAGGCAATCAATGCAAATGTTCTGGTATTTTCTTCCAGTTTTTTAACCTATGCCATTGTAGGTGGGCTACGGGAAAAAAATCTGCATGAATCTCGATCTCTTCACATGTAGCTGTGAAAAGCGTTTTCCTTCTCAGGGTGAGCTAACTTGGCAGTGGCTACAGTTTCCCATCACTCAGATACTCCCATTTAGTAGGTGTGATGACATCTATAACTAGTTGACTTTAATCTGGGTGTGCCTGATTCCACCATGGAAAGGCCTTAAGAGCAGAGCTCTTTCCAGAAGCTGCAGTGTACTCCCTGGAGTGCTCTAACCTGCCCTCCCTCACGCTGTACAGACTTCTGGACTCACCTAATCATCCCTCGTAACTGTGAGAGTCAATTCCCTGCAGTGACACTCGTACACAGAAGTAGCTTCTACCATATCTGCTTCTCCAGTTGGACACTGAATAAACACATGGGAGCGACGATTAAAATCACTGTTCCCAAATAAGCAGTGCCCTAAGATGCTGCATTCTTTTTGTTGACTAGACATTAGTTTATGGAAGAATACTCAACATCTTGATCCTATACTTTCCCCTTAGATTTTAGTCAGATTATCTGCTGACCAAAACCAACCACCAACCAACCAACCAAAAAACAAAACTAAAATAAAACAAAATTCTCTAAGATTCAGGAATTTATTTTAGTAGGTTATTAAGACTAATAACAACAAAGTCATGGTCAAAGTCAAAACACTGGGCAAAACACTTCATGGTCAGTCTTACTAGCCTTTGTCCCCAAGTTCCTGGAGCATGTCTAGGCATGAAGAATTATTTACTCCAATGTTAGCTTGGAGGACAAGAAAAAACTTATCAGAAGTCAACTAGAGACACGTTTCTCTTGAAGATTCCTAGACCACTTTACTACTGTGACATATTTAACCTTCAGACACTGCATAAAGAACACAAAGTATTTGGGTGCTGTGTCTAAACAGAAATAATGGAATCAGACCATGACCAGTTACTACCCATCCTAAAATTCATTTTATTCCATTTACAGATGGGTCCAAAATGGGGATAACCACTTAATTTTGGAAAATCTCAAAACCTAAGTATTGAAGAAACTTGTAAATCTCTTACCATAGTGAGATTTAACATTAATTAGTTAAGGAGTAGGATTATGTTGTCACATGGTGAAAGTGCTTATTCATTTTCTATAGTCACCTTTGTGACATTAAGATATTCAGGTAGTATGTTAAGGGTCTAAGATGGATTAAATCTCTAGTCTCTTAAGAGGCAAATCCTGCGCTGCCAATTTGTTTAGACAATGATTCATACACTATGGGTTGGGGAAATAACAGTAGTAGAGTGTTTGCTGTGCAAATATGAGGACTTGAGTTTGATCTCCAGCACCCAGTAAAGACCCACACTTGGTGGCACACATTTATAATCCCATCAGTGAAAAGATGGTCACAGGAAAATTGCAGGGGTTTGCTGGTCAGCTAGCCTAGACTAATAGGTGAGCCCCAGGTCCCAGTGAGAGACCCTGTCTCAAGAAAACAACCTCTGGCCTTGCATGCATGCCCCACCCCCCAATACACATTCATTAATTGTTATTTTTATATTGCTTCATTCTGTCATGTAGTAATTTATACTCTAGGAAATGACACATAAATTTCTTGTGGTGAATTTATGCTACAGTACTTACTTGAGTTCTCTACTGAGAACAATATTAATTCTGTCCTTTAATGGTCGATTCTTCTCAGGAATGGAAAACCAGGTTTTCCTACCCATAATCACCAGATTCTGTTTACCTACAGAATCAAGCAGAAAGGGTATTTTTGAAACTGTACATATCTTCATAATCACATATATATGCAAGATACGATTGTCATAGTGACATCTAGTGGACATCTTTTACAAAAAATTAAGAAGAAACAGCCTACCAAAAATTCAGATTTAGCACTTATTACCTAAACACAGCATTAATTTTTCCTTTTGGTTCTATTTAATTTATATTTTTATTTTGGTTTTAATGAATTGCAACCATGCATAGTTTCAGGTCAAAGTGCTCAGGATGACTGGATTCTGTCATCTACTAGATAAATCATGGTAACCCTATATGCTTTCCTTAGCAATGAAATGGAAATAAGAAGTTTCCATTTCTATAGTTGAGAGGATTAAAGACTTAGAACAATGTTCACTATCTTAAAAATTACAGTTATCTGAGTTCTCAGTTATCTCAATGTTTCATCTTTATCAACTAAGGCTCAGGGAACATTGCAGAAGTGTGCAGAAAGAATGTAAGAATGGGTGGTTGGGGAAGGGGGTTGTGAAAAGCTCATTTCTGGACATGATATGGCTCACGCACACATCAACTCATTTTTACCTGTAACAGATCAAGCCAGGCAGAATTTCAACATGGATGGGAGCTTGACTCCCAAGCCCCCACCCATATTCAAGGAGCCATTGACAGTTGATGGCTGTTCATGCCCCAGTGGGTGCATGCATAGTCATGGATCTATGGGCATCACTAATTGGATTCTGAAGGTCATTATTAAATTAAAAAAAAAGACCATGAAGGAAGGGAAAAGGCATGGGGGGGTCGCCTATGGGGACTCGGAGGGAGGTACTATAAAAAATATGAGAAAAGTACTGTTACAAAAACTGTATGCATATAGCTACCGTTTTTTTTTTATTTACTTAGGAAAAAACCTTGAGAATCAGACATCTAGATCAAAGAAACATTAACAATTACCACATTATATTTAGGATTCTTTTAAATATTTTTTATTGCGTGTATGTATGCGTGTACAGACAGGCTAGGCCAGGGGCCGACCCATCTCATCCTCCTGTCTCTACATTCCCAGAGCTAGGATTACAGCTGTGTGCCACTGCCTTTGGCTTTTCATGTGGGTGCTGGGGACTTGAACTCAGGTCCCCTGTGCTTTACTGAGTCATCTCCTCAGCCCCAACATTTAGGATTCTTGGAAGTGGGCTGTGTTAAGATGGCTCTTGCCAACCTGTCTACCAATAGCAGACAGTGCCTTCTATCTGTCCTATTAACGTCAGCATCTTCACCTTTCTACTTCTGTTTCCCTATTCACTCTTTGTACAATGATAAGCAGTCTGTTTATTTTCCAAGTCAGTCACCCAGACTCTTCCAAACCGAAGACAGAGCGTTCATCTAGATGCCTTTAAACCTCCAAATAGGCATCGGTGAAAGTCAGAGAAGTGTTTACCTTCTACTGAAGAGGTTGTGGTCATTCTTTGGAAGTACTTGAATTCGTTCCTGCAAGTTAGAGAAACAAAACAGATAAACTAGGAACTCTGTCAAATCGGCTCAGACCCTAGTGCACCAACAACCCCAGCATGCATGTCCTGGTGGCGGTGCTGCCCAGAAGGGACTTTGCTCCGGGTCAGGGAGCCTCCGGGCAAAGGCCTCGCGGTGGGCGGTCCAGAGCCTACCCACCCCAGTCCCTTTCCGAAGCAAGGCTGCCCACCACGCCGTAGGAACAAGTCGGCTCGTGAGTCCCCAGCTCAGGTGGCCCACCGCCCTCAGAGTGCGCCCGCCTCGGAGCCCTGGAATCCGGCCCGCCAGGTACCTGAGCGGGGGCCAGGGCAGGTCCCCGTTCTTGCCGATGCCCATGTTCTGGGACACCGCGACGATGCAGTTTAGTGGACGAACCATCACAGCAGCACCTTTCAGCTCCCGGTCTGCTCCTAACACCGGACGGCCCGCGAATTCGGCGGGAAATTGCGTCCGCTCCGCCCCAAGTCCCATTTGTGCACCCGAGGTCCCGCCCCCACGTTCTGGTTGGGCCGCCAAGGCTCCGCCCCGCCTCTCGAGTCCCACTGGCTCAGCGTAACCTGCGGCCCTCGCGTCACCAGCCGAGGCCACGCCCCCATGTTCTAGTTGGCGGCCGAGATTCCACCCCGCCCCTCCGCGCAGAGGTCGCAGCCCGCGCGCGCGCAGGTGCTGGGAATCTGCGGCCACGCGCCCGCGAGCGTGCTATAGGTTGCGGATCTCCGCTCTGCGATGTCCCGCCCGAAGCCCTCGTCGGGCGGCCTCGCAGCTACTAGCTCAGCCCCAGGGAAGCAAGCCGTTCTGAGCCGGTTCTTCCAGTCTACCGGAAGCCTGAGGTCCACCGCTTCCCCCATGGGGCCCGCGGAGAAGGCAGAGGGCGGCTCCGCAGCGCCCCCAGCGTCCACCACCTCGCCTGGGCGTCCGCCTCCGGGGGTGGGTTCTGTCCCGGGCAGGGCGGGGCGTGTGAGTGGAGCGGCTGGAAGGGGGATGCTGTGTCTGAGAATCCGCCAATGGTAGGCAGGAAGACTGGAAGGGGCGAGCCCGAAGAGGAAGGTGGAAACCCTATGCTGGGTCTTTTCCTTAAGCCTTGCTGAAAGGCTTTATTACCCGATTAGGAGTAATAGGCTTGAGGTTAACGTGACTCCAGTTGGTAAGGGGAAATCTTGAAAGGGGAACTAATATTCTAAGGAATAACCAGGCCTTTAGGGCAAAGAATTCATCTTTAACATCTGTAGGTTTTGGTGAAGAGGAGCTTTATTTATTTACATATACTTGTTTGGGTGACTAAAAGAAAGCTGTCTTTAAGGCTCTAGTTTTTCAGAATGCAAAAGCCTTGTCCATATTTCAAACCACTGTGGCAGAACACCGTCCTATTGTGCAGCTGCCCAGTGACTGAAGTGTGCCATTCATTTGAGTGAATTCATCATTGGGTACCTCCTGTTGCTCGTAACCCATTAAGTAGTTACTTTTTTAAAAAAAAAAAAAAACAAAAACCAGTGGTAGCACCACAAGGGAAAGCCCAAGGGTGAGCCTTTCTTGGGTTCCCTGTTGTATTTCTCACACGTGGCTGGAGGCATGGCTCTGTTGGTCCTGCCCAGCAAGCTTGAGGCCCTGGGTTTTGTCTTTTCCCTCACTGGGGATGTAGAAGGTGATTGCTGACTCACTTTTAGCCATCTACCATACTTGAATGCAGGGATAGCAAGGCTATTTGAGAGGCTTGCTTCTTTGGTTTGTATTTCTTCCCTGTACTGATCACTTATCATCTTTTTTTTTTCTGAGGATGAACTACATTTTCATGAATGCCCCCAAGATTTTATTTTGCATCCACCATCAAGAGAATATTTAGCGAAGGATTTAAGTTTTTCTCAGATTGCCTGCCAACAAGTAATTTGTAAGTGTAAGGCATCTTTAATAGTGAACAGAAACCAACAGGAAATAGTTATAATGAACAGTTCAAACATGATACTGTTTATTATCTCCCTTTCCCCTCTAATTTTGCATTTGGTAAGAATTTTTTTTTATATTTTAGAGGCACTTTAACATATGTAAGTAGGATAATTCAGATTTTATAGTGTGAAATAGGCGAAGGTTGATAAGAGTGGAGAAAGGTGGAGGACTTAGCTCCAGTTAATTTCAGCAGGATATGAAGTGCTGAGGGAGACTTCATTGGCTAGTTTCTGTCTTGGATCTTTGGTGATGGCACAAACAGCCAACCTTTGGATAAACCTTTCCAGAGCTAAAATTGGATCATTCTGTGAAGGGTGAAAGGCAAGGAACTTAATGCCATTCCCAAGTAAGTTTAGATGACTTCAAGTACATCAAACCTCAGAATACAGGTAACATGCCATTTTTCAACCTTCCTCATAATAGGCTACAGGATTTAACAGGAAGAAGAGATCACTGCAGAATGATAGGCCCATTAAAAAGAAGGCAAAGAAAGGCCCTTCGCAGGAAGGAGAAAGTGCCCCAGGAATATCTGGCAGCCCTGGTAAGTGCTCAGAGCTGAGTCTTCTCTGCAGCCAAGGTTCATATATTCTTGGTTTCTCCAGAGGGCAGAGAAGGCTCTTGGAGAGTTGAGCCCTTTGTTCCTGGTGGAGAAAGATCCCTGCTGTGTCTAAGCAGGTATGTATGGTGGTAGGAATTAAACCTGGGCTCCTCTGTAAGAGTAGTATGTGCTCTTAAACATCTCCCCAGAATCTAGCTATAATTTTAATTTTGCTTATAAAAATGAAACTTCCTTTTTAAAAATATTTTGTTTATTTTGCCTCTCTCTCTGTCTCTCTGTCTCTGTCTCTGTCTTTCTCTCTCTCCCTCCCTCCTGTGTGTGTGTGTGTGTGTGTGTGTGTGTGTGAGAGAGAGAGAGAGAGAGAGAGAGAGAGAGAGAGAGAGGACACAGGAGCAGTTCTCTTCTACCATGTGAATTCTGGGTATTGGATTCAGGTCATCAGGCTTTGCAGCAAGTGCTGTTACCAACTCTCAGCCATCTCATTCTTGCATTCTTGTTATCCATCTCCAGGACTCTTTTTATCTTTCACTTCTGAAACTCTGTTCCCATGAAAGAATTCTTCATTCCCTATACCTCCTGCCCCTGGGAGCTAACAACCTACCTTCTGCTTTTATCATTTTGAGTACTCTGCATTCATTGCTTTTATTTCTGGCAACATTCCACTGTGCAGGTCCATCTTGTTATTTGGTTTTTGTTTTGATTTTATTTTTAATTATATGTATATGTGTGTCTGTGTGGGGTTGTTCTGGTGAATACAGTGCCTGTGAAGGCCAGAAGAGGGTGTTGGGTTCCCTGGAACTGGAGTTCCAGGCAACTTTGAGCTGAAGTTGGGTTCCCTAGAAGAACAGGAAGTGCTCTGAAGTGCTGAGCGATCTTTCCAGTCCCTCCACCTTAGTTCTTAACTCTTCTATTTACAAGTTCCTTTTTTTGTACCGGGATACACAGCAGAAGACTCAAGCAAACACATTATTTTAAAAATAAGTAAGGTCAAATATACATTGGAAAAGATATTCAAAAATAATTTTTTTTTTTTTTTTTTTTTAATTTGGTCTTTTTGAGACAGGGTCTCCCTATAGCCCCTGCTGTCCTGGAACTCACTATGTGGACCAGGCTGGCCTTGAACTCACAGAGATCAGCCTGCCTCTTGCCTCCCGAGTGCTGGGATTAAAGGCGTGTGCCACCACTCCCGGCTTCAAAAGTACATTTTTAAGAATAAGAGTAACCACACTAAGTTCAGCAAATTATATTTGGAAAAGTGAAAAATATAGAAGAATCACAATTTTTCTTCAAAAATTCATAGTCCTGGGCTGGGGATAGCTCAGATGGTAGAGTGCTTGCTTAGCATGCATGAAACCCTGGGGTTACATAAACCAGTTATACACACTTATAATCCCAACAGTCAGGAGGTACAGGCAAGAAGATCAGGAGTTCAAGGTTATTTTCAGTCACAAAGTGAGTTAAAAAAGAGTCTGGGCTTCATGAGCCCTTGTCCCCAAAATGCATCAGCCGACAAAAAATTCTTCATCATTGTTAACATATGTGATAATTAAGTTTTTTTTTGTTTTCTTGTTTTTGTTTTTATGATTGGTTGGTTTGATAATAGACTGCTGGTTTCCTTGTGTATTTTTCTTCCCTTTTGACTACTTTTAAAGATTTTCTTACTGATTTTTCTAACATTTGATTTTGCTAGGTCTTAGCCTAGTTTTAAAGTTAATTAAGTTTTTAATCTTGCTTGAAACTCATTCAAAACGTCTTGGATCTGTGAGTTTATTGCTGTCATCAACTTTAGAAAACTCTGTAGTCTGGTATTTTCTCATTTATTTTGTCTGTCCCTCTTCTGGGGTTTGTTAGACTACTTACTGTCACAGTCCCCCAAGTCTCTGAAGCACTTTCATTTGTTTTCAGTCTTGTTTGTCCTTGTGCTTCATTTTGGATAAATTTTGCTGTGGCGTTTTCCAATTCAGTGGTCTTTTCTTCACATATCTAATCTGTTGTAACTCTGTGGTTTGCTTCGGGTATTACACAGGTCCTTCTAGGCATTGCATTTTCTTGTTTTTTAAGCTCTCACATATCTGTGAATTATAGCTCACTAAAACTGTTAATAGAATTGTTCATGCTTTATTCTTCTTTTTGCCCATGTTCTCCTTTACCTTTCTGATTCTGTGGAGAATGTGTATAAAACATGGTGTCTTGTCTCAGGGTGTTCGTTGCATCATCTCTTGACCTCTTTAGCTCTACTGATTTTTTCAGTTTTTCACATCTAGAATTTAACTGATAGTATCTCGGATATTTTGAATTCTGTTTTGTCTCATACTGAGTTTTGTTTTTCTTTAGTATGTCACACATTGGCAAGCAGGTAAATTTCTTATGGTTCAGTTGGATGTTTTGAGGATTTTTTCTAAACCTTTGTGGGGGAAGTCTAGGATAGTCTTTACTTCAGTCCAGGGTTAATGCATCCTTAAGGCTTGAACTTTCTTGAATTGGAGAGGGTTGCCTAGTAACAGCAGAGCACCATAATGGAGTATTTCCACTGTGCCGAGACAAAGGATGCCAGCAGCACTAAGAACATAAGTACTTACAGAGTATGATAAAGTCTGAGGGGGTTTTGAGGTTTGAGGATTTTTCCCTTGACATCTCGGCTTCCCCTGGACAGCAGTCTTATCTTGCCTCTTTTTTTTTTTTTTTTTTTTTTTTAAGATTTATTTTTAAATCTTCATATATATATATATATATGTGTGTGTGTGTGTGTCTATGTGAGTATATGTACATATGTGTGTGAGTGCCCATGGAAGTCAGAAGAGGATATTAGATTCCCTGGAGCTGGAGTTTCAGGCAGTTGTGAGGCACTTGATGTGGGTGTAGGGAACTGAGCTTTACTTCCCCACAAGGGCAGCAAGTGCTGACCCATGTCTCTAGCTCCTCACATCTGTTTTTAACACTTTACTGTTCCCTAAGATTTTTACTTCACACCCAGTCTGGGAAAGTTTTTGTGTCCATAGGAGGGAAGTCTCTGTGTAACATGCACACTTACAGTATGCTTTTGAAGAATGGTCAGTTATTTTGAAAAGGGGAAAGTGATGATAAACAAGGTAAATATATGCCCTTGAAGGAGTCAAATACTCTTCTTCCTAGAAGTGAGATTCGTGAGGCATGGCAAACTATATATCTGAAAAGAGGTTTTATATCATCTGAAAAGATTGTAACTTTTACAAATGAGCAAAATTCAATTATTGACCCTCTATTTTTACTTTAACAAGGAAGGTAAGAGACAGAGATGACAAATGCATGCAATCTCTAGTTATTCCCTTTATCTTTAGGAGTAGTTACCTAGCAGTATTGCTCTAAGGGGTGAAATAATGAATTTTAGTACATTGCAGAGATCCCGTAAATGATAGATCCCTTCTTAGTTGCTTGCTTATGAGTGACAGATAACTGTTACTATAACTGCTTAAATTATTGCTTATAATGATAGATGCTACAGATAGATGTGATCTTGTTAAGGAACGTAGAGAAAGAAAAGCAACTATTAAGTAGGAGAATTGGCAGAAGGTTTCATGGGAAAGGTAGCTTGGGGATGGTGTTTGAAGAGTGAGTACATTTTTGATATGGTGTGGGTAAGCTGTGAAGGCAAGAAAGCAGGTGTGTCTATGCTAGTGACTGGGTGTCCTCAGTGAAGCCCTGACAGCAATCTCTTTATGTCTTTTCCCTTAATTGGTAGATTGTCCAGTCAAGAGTCTCCTGACTTATATCTGGAAGAGGAGGGCTCTGTGTACCTGGGTCCTGGCAAGACCAGGGTCTCAGCATCTAGCCCACCTTGGCTCTCATCTTTTTCTGGGGACAGTTCTCTAGCAACACTGCCTGTTAGGCATTTCTAGAGAAATCGCCAGTCTGTTTTGAGATGGAGAAAGGACCTTTGAGCTTGAAGAGGGGAAAGACTCTAGGGATCAGCTAGCTTTGAACCAGTCCCTTTTATTTTAGAGCTTCCCTTTTCCATTTCCAGATTTCCTGGTCCCCCAGTTCCCGAGTCTCTTGAGTATTTATGTTGCAAATAGGATTGGTTTTTGGTTTTCTTAATCACTGACTAAGGATTTAATATGCATTGTGTGCACTCAGTTAGTGACTGCTCATCCATTTCCCTGACTAGCTTCGGATAGATCATTTGCATTTGTCACCTTTTCTCTACTGTCTGTCCTTATATCTAAAAACAAACAGTAGCAAAGCTCTACAGTAGTTCCTTTTTAAATTAAAATTATATTTATCTGTTTATATGTGTATGTGTGGAGGACAGCTTGTAGAAATTGGTTTTTTCCTTCTACCATGTGAGCTCATTTGAACTCAGGTGGTCAGGCTTGGCAGCAGACGCCATTACTTGCTGAGCCATCTTGCCAGTCCCTTCTACTGTGGGTCCTAATGTGTTTCATCAGTGAGTGAAATTAGGTGTATGTTTCAGTATGTCATCTTGATCTTGAATACATTGTCATTTATTTCTTTATCGCATGATAGTCGGGTTCATTGATTGCTTCAATGGGAATATTCTCCTTTGAAAAATTCTGTTCTGGTTATGAATTGGCATAATGAGGCCACACTATTTGGTATGTTTTCTTCTTATTTGTTTCCCAAGAGCCAAGGAAATGTCTGAGGCCCAGGATTGTTTTAAAGTCTCTGGAAAAACTGAAAGAGTTCTGCTGTGATTCTGCCCTCCCTCAAAACAGAGTCCAGACAGAACCTCTTCGGGAGAGATTTGCTATTCTGCCAAAGTGTACTGATTATGAGGATATCACTCTGCAACGTGCAAAGAATGCAATTTCTTCTGAAGATTCCAAATCTCAAACTAGTCAAAAAGTATGTACCTCCTATGTGGATGAGTATTGGGTACCTGGGATGGTAGGTTCTGTGGGGCCACTCGGGAACTGAATGGGACCCCAGACTTACCTGATCTGAATTAGCTGAGGGAGCTTTTGTTTCTCAGTATTTTTTTTTCTTTTATTCTTTTGTTAAAACAAAACAAAACAAAAAACACTCTCAGGCAGTTCTGTTGTACTATTGAGGTTGGGAGCCATTGACTTGGGATGTGATTATTGCTCATTTCTATAGCTCCAAGTTTCTTCTAGTCCTCCTTACAGTATCTGTAATCTGCATGGGAAATCACAGTGGGCAGCAAATAGGTATATGAGGTTCTTTTTTAGTTGGAAGCTTGGCAGATACAGAATAAATTCAGAGAAAATAGATGAGCTTTGGCTTTTGTTTCTTTACTGTGACCTTGGTGACTTATTAATGATTTTTACTATTGTAGAACCAGGGAGTTAACTCTCATTCTACCATTGAAATTCATTCAGAGAAGTGGTTAGTTCTCAACTTTAGCTTTAAATTAGAATAATTTGGAGAACTTTTCAAAAAGTATTGGTATTCAGAACTTTCCCTCAAAATGTTATTTAATGGGTTTTCACTGAGAATTGGGCATGGATATTTTTAAAAAAGCTTTTAATGTGTAGATATAATTGATGACCATTGAATTAGAGAAATGGTTATATACACACAGATGCATACATACACAGATGCATGCACACATTTTTTTTGCATACTGAAATTCTAATGAATTTTCCTTAGAAAAAAGCTCAGGATAACAAAATTTTAGCCATAGTTTTCAAAGGTTCACACCCCTTTCCACAAAATCCAGATCCTACTTCTATTGCTTATATAGAAAGTGACCAGCTTGGCATTTCTACAACATGGGGAACTAGAAGTAACCAGATAGAAGGGTTACCTAGAAGTAGTAAATGGACATTATTATGGGTGATAAGCTATTGCTTTTAGTCTTTGAGACAGGGTTTCACTGTGTATTACTCACTGTCCTGGAACTCACAAGAGATCTGTCTGCCTCTTCCCTTTGTCTCCCAGTGCTGCGATTAAAGGCATGCCCTACCGCACTAGGCATGGTAAGCTATTTGAAGGCATAGAAGGACACAGATGAATGTTAAAAAGCTAGCAAATGAACTTAAATGCCCAGTAATACAGGGCTATTAGTGCAGAGTGAGTGGCACCATGAGTCTTGGAAGGTTTCTCAGAATGGAAGGTTTCTAGGAATGTTAAAGAGCGCATAATATATCTGAGAAGCATTTCTACTTTTGTTGTTTTTAAATTGCTTACTATTCAAGTATTCAGATGGACTTGTTACTATTAAACATATAGATAACATTTTTTTCCGAAAGTCTATCTCATTCCATAAATGAATAAGAGAATATTTTTTTTTCTAGGAAATGTATTTTTGTGAATGTGGGTTAACTTTTATAATACATAGCATTCTTGGATTTATATAAAAGCCATACAAAGAAAGGGAAATCTTACATAAATTAAAATAATTGTGTTCTCAGACCTGATACAGTGAGCTACATTTCTCTTGCCTCTCCTCATCTTCGGAGGTTTGCTTATGCGCTAATGACTTTTCTTGTTGCTGCGATAAAATACCAGACAAAAATGACTTAGGAAGGAAAGGTTTGCTTGGCTCACAGTTTTGTCCATTACGACAAGGAAGGCCTGTGGTGGATACCTGGTCACAGTGCATCCGTAGTCAGGAAACAGATGTGAATGCTGGTGCTCAGCTCATTTTCCCCTTTTTATTAGCACAACTGTTGGTAGGCCCGAATTTAGAGTACACCCTCCTTCCCCAGTTTAACAGTTATGGACCATCCTAATAGATACACCCAGGGGTATGTTTCCAAGGTGATGCTAAACACAGTCGAGGTGATGGATAATCATCGTAACCATTACAGCCTGACTACTCTGTTGAGATGCATTGAGTCTCATTGGTAAGTTAGTGTCTTTTTTTGAAGAAAATAAGTCTGTAGAGAACAGATTTCAGATGAGAGTAGATGAATAGGATCTTGGAGGACAGGAACAGTATGTCTGCCTGCAGCAGGGGTGGCAGGCCTCAGAAGGGTCCGTTTCCAATGGGGCTGTTTTGTTTTCTTTTTGAGACAGGGTTTCCCTGTAGCCCCCGCTGGCCTGGATCTCACTATGTAGACCAGGCTGGCCTTGAACTCACAGAGATCCACCTGCCTCTGCCTCCCTAGTGCCGGGATTAAAGGCGTGTGCACCTCCTGTCTTGCTAAGCTGAATTTTAAAAATATTTAGCAACAGGAAAGTGTGTCTCTGGGTTTTCTCTTGGTCTGATACTCCCCTTTCTGGGCTGTTTAATTTCTCTTTCGCCCTCTTTTTTTCTTGTTGATCACTCATCTTTTAGGCCACAGTTTTGATTCCAGGGTCAGCTGAGTACATATTTAGATGATGGCAGAGTGATGATTATTTAGAAGCTGGATTTGTTCTGTAAATTTGTGTTTTTTTTTTTCCTTTGTCAAAAGGGTTTTTCTCAAGCTATAAGTTGAAATTAATTATAGTTTTTGTCACAGGAGGATAAAGGCAGTATGGGTACTGCTGTTGAAAGTGTAACCATGTTATGTGCTTTCTAAAAGTTCTTCATTTCTCTAACAAAACAATCATAATTCTTTTTGGAATAAAGATTTATAGAGTGGCTTACATTTTAGATTGTGCATGGAAATGTAAAATAGGTCTATCTTTAGATATCTGTCAGTTTGCTGTAAGCAACTGTGCCCTAAATTCGTACCTACTGATCTTTAGTACCCAACACTCTAAGGAATAAATAATATGTTAATAGTATATTTAAGGAAGATTTAAGGAAATAAAACTTTTATTTTTTATTTATTTATAATTTTTTAATATTTTATTTATTATCTTTATTTTATGTATATACATGTATTGCCTGCATGCAGGTAAGTGCACCCATGTCGTGCAATGCCCACGGAAGACAGAAGAGGCTGTTGGATCCCCTGGAACTGGAGTTATGGAGCTGCCATGTGGGTGCTAGGATTCAAACCCGGGTGTTCTGTAAGAACAACCAGTGTTCTTAACCACTGAGCCATCTCTCCAGCCCAGAAATAAAACTTTTAAAAAAGCATATAAAACATTAAAATATTTTGAAATAGACTTTCAAAATGTACTTATTTATATAGTCTATAAATTTTGACCCTTTTTTTTGTTCTTTTTGAGACAAGGTCTCCCTGTAGCCCCAGCTGTCCTGGAACTCACTGTGTAGTCCAGGCATGTGCCACCACGCCTTTATGTTAATTTTAAAGTCCATATACTGAGTGACTGGTCTTGTCATGGTGTTGCCACTCATCCACATCATTTTACTTCACTCTCATCTGTCTCCCTCCCCTTCTCCTCCCCTGTGCTTTAAACTTTTACTTTGAAAATATTTCAAGCTTACAGAGAGCTTGGTCTCAATACTCCACTGTGCCTTTAGAAACCTTCCACCTTGAGTCACTGTTAACTTTTTGCCAAACTTATATTTTCTCTGAGAACATAGTAGTACAGTTAATACTTATTTTTCCCCTTAGGTGCTCAGACACAACCAAGGAATTGTAGGTCTTCAGTTACTCTCAGTGAGTCGAAACCACAATTTTAAGGCATCATCACAGCACCAGTTAATACTTTTTAACCTATATAAATCTTTTGGTTTCCAGGACAGTCAATTTGGACCATGCCACGAAAATTTACAGAGAGCTTCAGATTGTAAACCTCCTAACAAGCGATCCAAAAGCATCTACACACCCTTAGAATTGCAGTACATAGAAATGAAGCAGCAGCATCCAGATGCAGTTTTGTGTGTGGAATGTGGATATAAGTATAGATTCTTTGGGGACGATGCGGAGGTAGGTTGGGTTTTTGTTCTTTCTTATTTTCTTTTTTTGGTGCAGAATCTTGCTGTGCAGCCCAGGCTCGCCTTGTACTCCTGATCCTCTTGCCTTAGTCACCGCTCCCCCAAGTGCTGGGACTATAGGTGTGCAACCCATGTGCTTATTGTGTTTTCAAATACTTGTTCATGGTTTTCTTTTCTAGTCATAGATTGTTTTCAGTAGATTTTAAAACATTTTCTGACTTAAAAAATTGTGTGTGTGTGTGTGTCTATGTGTCTGCGCAAGGAGGTCAGATGACAATTTTCAGGAGTCTGCTTTCTCCTTCAGTCAGGGGTCCTGGGATCGAAGTCAGGTTATCAGGCTTGGAGGCAAGTACCCTTACCCACTGAGCCATTTAGTAGGCCCTATTTTCTGACTTCCTGAAAAAAAAAAGCAGCATGAAAAAAAAAAAAAAAAAAAAAAAAAAAAAAAAAAAAAAACCCAAAAAAACCCAAGAAAACCCCAAACTAATTGGATTGGTCACCATTTAAAGATAATGTTCTTCGATATGCATACTAAAAATAAATGCAACCAAACTTGGTGGGAGCTAGTCTTGTGGGAGAGAAATGGGGGAATGTTTCTGCCTTTTCTCCTATGTACTAGCCTAGTACGTTTCATCCCTCAGAGGATTGTTCAGTGTGTCAGTTAGCAAATGCACCATTATCATGTCAATATGTTTTCTAATGAAGACCCAAGCAAGAGCTAAAAAAAAAAAAGAGATACAGAAGTTCTTCTGTTCATTCTTAGGATTTTCATAGTCAGGAAGAAAGCTGCATCTCAGTGGACCAGCACGTTAACGCCTATAGCCTCTAACAGGTGTTTGAAATGATCTTTATGTGTGTCAGTCATTTTGCCATCTTAATGCAAGTTGGGTCTTGATTTAATTTTGGGGTGTTTGATGTAGGCCTCAGTAAAGAAAAAGGTGGATTTGCATATTTATTGGGCAAGCAGAGAGAGAGAGAGAGTATTGCTCATGGTTGACAGCTGTGTCTTAGGCCTGTGTGGGTTGTAGTGTATCAGAAAGAGATGAGGGCTCATTGTTTTATCAATATATCAATATATCTATATCTATATATATGAATGTATATAGTTCCCTTATGGATGGAAACGAAGACGAGCCTTATATCGTTCAGTTTTCTAAATCCTGTTTTTGCAGGAAAGTGATATTTTCTCAGTTGCTTTATGTTGTGTTGTGTTATGAAATTAGGCTCTGAGATAGACAGGGACAGGCAATAGCTGGCCTCCCCTAGGAGAAAAGGAAAAAGAAGCTGTCTAGGTTAGAGGGTGAATTCAGAGTGGCTGTAGTAAAGGTTGGTATTTCCTTGACTGCAGTGATGGGCTAATGCAGTTCAGAGACAGGGTGAGGCTGGGAAGTAAGAATGTTGGAATGAGAGTTCCATGGCTCTGGTAGTCACTATCTAAAATGTGGTCTTTTCTAGAAGAAAGCAGGGAATCAGATAGTGCTTCCGGATTTTGCATTTCTTTCAGTCATGTGCTATTAGTAAGAGTCCAGGGGTCTCTCCTTGTTACTGTTGCCTCTGTGTGCCATCACTTACTGGCATTGTGTAGTGTCTTCTAGTTGTCAGATACTTGGATGTGCCATTTGCTTCACACAATCTTATTCTGTTATGTCTCATGCTCTTAATGTAGGGAAACCTGAGTACTTTAATGTTTTGGAAACACCTCTGTGTCTCCAAGGACATTGAAGAAGATCTGTGGTATTTTTGTGAGCCATTTAGAGATACTGATATTGCCCCTGAAGTCAGCCTATTAGAAGAGCCCAAACTAAATGAAACCACACGTTTCTTTGTAAGGAATGTCTCTCAAAATTTTCATTGATGCACTGCACATATGGAGATACCAATCCTAACACATGTATACACTGTGGTGGATTTTAAATAAAATAAACTCTATACAGGGAATCTTGAACTAGATGTTCATTAACATTCTTTTTTTAAAAATTTTTTTAGATTGCTTCCCGGGAGCTGAATATTTATTGCCATTTAGACCACAACTTTATGACAGCAAGCATACCTACTCATAGACTGTTCGTTCATGTTCGCCGACTTGTGGCCAAAGGATACAAGGTCAGTTTGGCTTTAATTTGTGAGAAAAAGGAATTGGAATTCTCTAGAGAGCAAAAGCATTCCTTCTAAGATGGCATAAGGTGGTAGAAAGGCTTTTATTGGCTTTAGAATTTGGAATTTTGAGAATTAGAATGTGTTTATAATTATTATTGCAGCTTGCTTTTTCTTTTGTTTTTGTATTTGGAGATAGGATCTTGTTATAAAGTTCATCATGTAGCTCAGGCTTGCCTTAACCTCGCGATCCTCCAGCCTTAATCTCTGCAGTGCTGGGCTTACAGCTAGGTGTACATCACCATGCCCAGCCCTGGAGTGCTCCTTAATTCAGTCGCAGAGTGTTTCTTAGTGCTTTATCCCTCACCAGCTGCTTCTGGTACTTACTGTTTAAGCCCTTCGGTGCTTCAGAATTAACGTTTAAGCATTTTGAAATGGGTTTTTTAGTGATGGTATTTATCAGGTTTGGCAGTAAATATGTCTTATTTTGTCAAAGGTGGGAGTCGTAAAGCAAACAGAAACTGCGGCATTAAAGGCCATCGGAGACAACAGAAGTTCTGTCTTTTCCCGGAAATTGACTGCTCTTTATACAAAATCTACACTCATTGGAGAAGATATCCTTTTAGAATAGGACTTCTTTCTTATCTGTTGTAGGGGTTTTGTGTTAAAATGACAAATTTAACAAAACCAAAAATGTCTTTTCTCTGAGTGGGTACCTTTTTTTTTGAGGTATCTAGCCACTACCCATCAACTGATTAGTATGCTGTGGAAGGGGAGTCTGGGCAGAGGCTAGATGCAAGTATTTGCCTAAAAGGGGTGTCAGGTTAACAGCTGTTTGAAAGGACATTTCCCCTTTGATCATTTGTGAGCAGTGTTAACTCCTAGGGCTGGCAAGTTCCTCAGGGTCTTCCTAAAGTGAGACCTGAAAATAGCTTTCTAATTTCATGTGAAAAGAACTTCCAAGACAAAAATTAAGACATGGATAAATACTTATTAAATATAACACTAGGCTGCCTTCATTAATTGCCCACTTCATAAAAATTTTACTACTTTTGAAAATGGATGGTTGGTAGATCATTCTCACTCTGCAAGAATCTTTGGTATGCACAGTGATCATCCCAAAGTTTATCATAATTCAGATAAATTTCAGAAGCAGAGTGATAAAATTCTTTCACTTTAAAAAAATATTTTTATTTTTTATGTGTACAAGTGTATTGTGTGCATGTAAGTATTTTGTTATATTTTGTAGTCACTATGTGATGCTGGGAACTGAACCTGGGTCCTCTGCAAGATCACCTTGTGCTCTTAGCCACTGAGTCACATCTCCGCCTGCTGGTCATTTTTTTTTTTTTTCTTTTTCTTTTTTAGACAGGGTCTCCTGTAGCCCCAGCTGGCTTGGAACTCATTATGTAGACAAGGCTGGTCTCGATCTCAAGCGATCTATTTGCCTCTGTCTTCTAAGTGCTGGGATTAAAGGCGGCTTGCACCATCACACCCTGCTCCCTGTCATTTTTTAAAGTGAAATAGTTATATATAAAACAAGAGAAGGGTATATTTAAAAATATTTACTGGATGGAGGTGTCATGTGTCTGATAAAATATGTAGGGATAACAAGGCCTTAATGATACCATGTGACAGTATTTGTTAGGGTTTCTTACAAAGTGGTTTATATGGTCACCTGCTTAGCTCTCACCCAAACTCAGAGATGGTTTTGTTCTAGGAAGATCATAATTATGAATAATTGAGATGAGAGTCCAAACCATTAACAGCCCTGTATTCCAAGCTGATCAAACTGTAAGAATCTGGTATTTTTATTTTTACTTGACTTTGAGCCATTATTTGAAGTGTGTTCTTAACAGTCCCCTGCTTGAATTTGCTTTGTTGCCATTAGAGCTCTTGTCTCCTGATAACATTGACTGTGCCCATGATGACTTTGTCCAGAATAAGCTTTTAGCTCTGAGAATTTGATCAATGGACTCATTTTATACATGTGTGTGCAGACATGCCCCTATGTTTGTACATAAGGTTCTATTTAATTAAGTTGTTTTTAAAATTCTCCTGCTATTTCTAGAGTCTTAGGTACTTTAGAAAAGGAAGTAAATTTGTACTACTTTTGTGTATCATTTCTTTTGATACGTAGAAGTCAGCATGATAGAATTGTTAAAGGAGTCAAGTCTCAGCATCATCTTAAGTGCCTTACTATCTGGGCTGCCAGAGGGTTGAATATGCACGTCTAAGCCCTTTGGAACTGGGAAGGTTCCCTGTCCTTGTGCCCCTTACATCCGAGAGAATAGAAGACATGCAACTATGATCATAAATCAAAGGAATGAATGCTGCATGGAAGGTTTTTGCTAAGGAAAATAAATTGTTTAACTGTTAGTGAGAATTAAGCACGAGTTTTTCTTTAATTATTATCACATGTAAATCCTCTGATCAAGCTGGACGATTCTACAAATGTTGATGAGATAACGACGGATATTTCTACCAACTATCTTCTGTGTATCTATGAAGATAAGGAAAGTATTAAGGACAAAAAGAAGGCGAACATTTCTATTGGCATTGTGGTAAGTACTTTGAAACAGGATAAGCATTCATGGTACCTCTAAGCCTGAGTAATCATGAATGGTGTGTAATGAGGCTGTCTGATGAAGCGTGCCTTCATGTAGTCATACTAGAAAAACATTTTCCTCACAATATCACTCATTGGTTAATTAGTTAAATGATGTTCTTTGTGGCTACTTGACACTGTTATGGAAAGAAGCAGATAACTTCAGTCTGTGTGCTCTGGGCTGGTAAGAGTTGAAGATAGTTGCAGTGCTAGGCAGGCAGATGCACAAGAAATGGATAAAATAAAACACTATGCAAACCTGTACAAGGGGAGTAAAGGGTTCTATAGGTTTCTTCTAGGGTGTTCAGTCAATTATGAATGATCATGGGACTATCCTAGTGAGATTTGGAGGAGGGGGTAGTTAAGGGAAAGTTAGCTGGCCAATATAAAATAGCACATTAAATTAATACTGCAAATAGTTTCATTTTGTCTCTTTCAGATAAATAATAATGCATAATCTTTAGTTTTATTGATTTTTTTGCCATCTGCCAGTATATGAGTAAATTTACTCATTTACAGACCTGCTTGGACTGTACCCCTGAGAACTGTTAGATCCCCTTTTTCTATTGTAAGTGAAGCAAGGTAGGATAACTACTTTCTTTGTTTTTTCTAATACTTACAGTCAGTGACCAGCATTTTAAAAAATTCTGAAAACTGGAGTGTTCTAATGTGTCTTTTAATACATTATTCATACTGCGTAACTGTGCTAACTTGACATTTGCTCAGCCAGTAAGCCCTTCACTCAGGAGGAGTTAGCATTATTGTGGGTGTTGGGGGCTCAAATGATTTTTTTTCTCTTGAGAAACATTTTTATGTAGCCATAGGCAGTTGAATCTATTCACAAATGTAAGAGTATTTGCTTCTCAGTTTTAACATATGTAGTGTGCTACTTTAGATTTACCTGAAGCTCAGGCTGAAGAACAGAGCTGATTGCACACAGGTCCTACTTGGGGCCTTTAGAAATATTGTCTGGCCACTGCCAAGGTTAACTGTAGTGGAGGAGCAGGAATGTGAGAAAATGAAACATTATCATTGACCCAAGTATCTCCTTGGGTCCTGAACTTGACCTTGGAAATCCTTTCTGACTGATGGCATCCTGAGCTCTAAGCCAAAGCATCATGTTGCAGGTGTCTGTTACCATTAAAACTATTTTTTTTAATTAAATAAAGCAACAGAGAATTTGGCTGTATGATAACTTTGTTGTTTGAATATCTGTAAATGACTTTTGCACATGCTTGGTTTATGGACATTTGAACTTAGGTATGTAACCTAAAAGATGTCTCTGGGCTAGAATTAAGAATGTTCTTTGAAAGCCGGGCGTGGTGGCACAGGCCTTTAGTCTCAGCACGTGGAAATCAGAGACAGGCAAATATCTGTGTGTTCGAGGCCAGCCTGGTTATTTTGATATATCACAGTGAAAGATTTATCGTCCTCTTTTTTTTTTTTTTTTTTTTTTTTTAAAAAAAAAAAAAAAAAAAAAAAAAAAAAAAGAAGTTCCTCGGCTATGAATGAAAGATTTAAAAAAAATTATAAAATATCCAAATGAAAAAAAAAATGTATGGAGTAGAAATTTAACAGGGGGCGTGAGATAATCACCTAGGTCAGGAACTTCTAGAACACTTCTAGAATCCCTAAGGTCCTTGTCGGTCCCTTTCCTTCTGAGGTGACTGGGTGACTGTAATCCACACTTTTGAATTAATAGTTTCTTTAGTTTTAGCTTTACCTTAAACTATATCCAAATGTAAACATATTGTTTTGAATTTTTATTTTGTTTCTCACTTTGCATTTGAATTAAAATTTGTTTTTCTATTTTATTTATTTATCTCTTTAGTGTGTGTGTGTGTGTGTGTGTGTGTATGTATGCAAGAATCAGTTCTTTCCTTCTACTATATGGGAATAGAGCTCAGGTCATCAGGCTGGGCAGCAAGAGTCTTTTATCCACTGGCCACTGCTGGCCTGTTTGTAAAATTTATTTACTGTTGCCGTAGATATTTGATTAGAGTGCTCTTTTTAATTTTATAACATACAGTGTAGTCATTCTTCTGTTGATGGCCATTTAAGGGAGGCCTTTGTAGTTTTTGAGTCTACAAAGGATGCTGTTACAAGCATTTTTGCGTCTTTTCTTATACACATGCATGTTTCTCAGTAGTCTATACCTTGGGGAGTAATTACCGAGATGTAGACTGTGGGTGTTTTGTCTCTTCCTAAACAATCCCTAGCTGGAGCTGGAGTGACTGATAGTTTGACTTTCCCATTGGCAGTGTGTAGGGTATGGGGTAGTAATGCTTCCTCCTTTTTGCAAGTGCAGGCTGTCACTAGACCATCTCCTAAGCATCAGTAGTGGGCAGAGTGCAGCCTGGGGCTATGACTTTGACTCTTGGTGCCACCATTTTATTGCTCTGGGACCTTGGCTAAGTAACTCCACTACTTTCTCCACTTTTCCTAAGCCTTAATTCTTCTCAGCTTTTCTTCTTCTCATTGGCTTTCAGTGACAGGTGATGGGTATAAGTTGTCTTGGTTATTTCACTGGGTGGACTGTTTGGATTTCATCCAGTTATATTTAATTACTGCAAAAGATATACCATTTATGTTACTTGTATGGCATTAGATATATTCACTAATAACTTTGTGATAAGTTGCTATTTGTATAGTGCAGTGCAGTTTAAAAGTTTTTTACACACTTGTTTTCTAATTTGATCCTTATAACAACCTATGAAGGCAGTAGACTGACTTCTTTCTTTTTAAGGAGGAGGAAGCTGAGGTCCAGCACAGTCTGGTGACTTGTAGCCACTCCATCAGTGTACCAGGTCCAGGATCTGTACTCTGGGTATCTCTTGAAACTCAAGTTGATTGCATTATTTAATTTATTTATTTACTTGTTTGCTCTGTGTGTGTGCGTGTGTGTGTGTGTGTGTGTGTGTGTGTGTGTGTGTGTGTTATGCATTGTACACATGTGAAAGTCAGAGACAACTTGGGAGAGTCAGTTCTCTCTTCCCATCATGTCAGTCCTAGGTCATCCACCTCACTGACCCTCAGCCTATTTTAGGTATCTGTGAATCTGACTTATATAAGAGTCTTGAAAAGTAGACAGATTTTCAGACTCTTTAGAAACAGTATGTACTGATGAGCGTATCATCTTTACTATAACCATGCCCATGTTGTGTCATAGCAACTGGGAAAATGTCTGTTTTCTGTGCTGTTTGTGTTTGTTTTCAGGGAGTACAACCTGCGACAGGTGAGGTTGTTTTTGATAGCTTCCAGGACTCTGCTTCCCGCTCAGAGTTGGAGACACGCATATCAAGCCTGCAGCCCGTGGAGCTGCTGCTTCCCTCAGACTTGTCAGAGCCAACAGAGATGCTCATCCGCACAGCTACTGCTGTTAGGTGAGTTGACGCTGGAAGCATTGATGATTCTCAAATGTAGATTTAATCGATACATTGATACTTAGTTAAAATAGTTTATTTTTATTTTATGTATATGAGTGTTTTGCCTGCATGTATGTGAACCACATGCATGCAGTGCCTGTGGAGGCCAGACGAGGGCATTGGATCCCCAGAAACTGGTGTTAGGTGTGGTGTTAGTCACCATATGAGTGCTGGGAACTAAACCCTCTGGAAGAACAGCCAGTGCTCTTAACCACTGAGCCATCTCTCCAGCCCCTTAAAATAGTTTTTACTCATAGACGTTTTATTCCATTATATTTCAATAATGGGGAATTTTAAAAAGAAAAATTTAGTGTATAACTATGGATGATAGTCTTTTAAAAGAGGTTTATCATTATTTAATCATACTGTTTGATAATTTGTATACTTTCTAGAGATAATTTAGAATTTATTTCTTAAAAGGTTTATATAATTTGAAATTTCTTTTTCTATGCTGCAAGTTTCACTTCCAGGCTGGGTTCAGTAGTTTTATTATTAGATATGAAATCTATGAAGCAGTGTAGTGGGCACTGTAGGATGCAGGGAAAGGAGATGCAGTTAATGCAAGTGTGCACATAGCTAGATTCACAAGGCATGAATGTTAAGTACCGAACAGGAGGGTGCTGCTGTTAGGCAACTTGATGGGTGTGGGCTGGGCTTCAGCGAAGAGGACTGTCTGTATTAGGGAGGATTGTTGGGATTTTCGGTTGGTGTGTGTAGCAAATTAGTTAGTAAAGCATATTTGAAGTGGAGATCCAGGCGCTTCTTTGTCCATAGAGTTAAGAGCATTCATTTTCACTGAAATTTTTCTGTCAGAGTAGCTTTTATAATTTGCTTTTCTGACTATAACACTGTTATGCATTCATTTAAAAGAATTTAAGAGCTAAAAAAGAAAGATCCAGTAAATCACAGTCTGTAATCCAGAGATAAATACATTTTAATGTATTATTTCTATATATGTTTTACTTTTTTCATTTATAAACTTGTATTCATGTAGCAAATTTAGTTTCATAATTTATGTACTGTATGGAGTGGTAGAGATTCATAAGTCATAGGATCAAACACGGGGTTGGAAAGCTGGCTCTTTGCCTTAGTGACTGAGTAAATTACTAAACTGTCTTTGTCTTCCGGTGTCCTGTTCCTTAAAACGGGCAGTAAGAGTACTTGGAAAGTGCCTGGCTGAGAAAACCACCCATAAGTGGAAAATAATATAACCATTTCCTCTTTTTTTCTTTTCTTTTTGAGACAAGGCTTCCCTCTAGCCCCAGCTGTCCTGCTAAAATCTGTATAAATTCAACGGGCCAGAGATAAAATCTTGGCAGTTGTCAGCAGGATTTCATTTAGGGAACAATCTATATTCTAACACTCTGGTATTAAAACCAGGATGATTGAAACTCTGTGATTTCATAACATTGATTAATAGTGAGGACAGCAATGACCAGAACACTAAGCGTTACTCACATCTGCCTGAGGCTGTACATGGAGATATGTGGCCTGGATGCTGATCACAGACAGAGACAGCCCTTGCTAAGTGTCCACTCTGAGTGTACAAGCGCATGCAATCTTGGTTTTTTTGGTATGTTTCCCTCTAGCCCCAGCTGTCCTGGAACTCACTATGTAGACCAGGCTGGCCTTGAACTCACAGAGATCCTCTTCCCTCTGCCTCCTAAGTACTGGGACCAAAGGCGTGCGCCACCATGCGTGACCCCATTTCCTCTTAATATTGCCTCTCCCTACTCAGGTTTGTTTTTGGAGGGGAATACAGGGTATGTTTGTTTTTATTTTATTGTATTTATTTTTTTTTGAGGCAGGTTCTTAGGTGGCTCAGGCTGACTTCAAACTCACTATATAGCAGAGGATTGCTTGAATTCCTGATCCTCCTGCCTTTACCTCCTGAATGCTGGGATTACAGATATACGCGGCTCCCTTCCCGTTCTGAACTTCTGTCAGGAAATGGCCTTCTTGTTATTTTCTTTGTGTATGCCTTTTAGGGTATAATTTCTCAACTGCTGTTATGTTTCTTATATGCTTTTGACTCTTAGATATTTCTTCTTTAAAGAACAAATTGCCAGGCATGGTGATACAGCTTTTAAACCTAGCACTTGGGAAGCAGAGGCAGGCAGATCTCTGTGACTTCAAGGCTAGCCTGTTCTACATAGTGAGTTTCAGGCCAGCCAGGGCTGTATAGTGAGACCCTGTCTGAAAAACAACAAAAATCCCAATCAGAAACAAAAAGATTTAAAATAAATTTTTTTTTCTTCTTTAAACATTAAAAAAAAATGTTTATTTTAGTTCAGGCTGAGGAGATGGCTTAGTGAGTGCCTGCTGTGCTAGCATGAGGACCTGCGTTCCGATCCCAGCACTCTTATGAAAAGCCATCTGTTCTGGTGCATATCTGTAATCCCAGTGTTGGGAAAGGAAGACAGGAGACAGGAAGGTCCTAGGGTTTCATGGTAGAGGAAGCTATCTGATGTTGATGTCACATGTGTGTGCACTGGAGCCCACAGTGCAGTCCCATACACATGTAAACTCACAAACACATAGACAGATACACAGACAGAAACATATAAACACACACAAATAGACATGCACATAATAAAGCCTTATCACATACCTTGTAGGAAGGTAACTAAACTCATTTAAAATAGTTACATTTTAATTCACTGTTTCTACTTTTTTAGTGGACTGCTAAGGAAATTCTGAATGCTTCTAGTAACATTCCATTATTGTTTAAAATTTTCTTTTATTGTCAATTAAAAAATTTATGTGTATGAGCCCTTTGCCTACATGTATGTAAGTGCACCTATGTTATACAGGACCAGAACAGTTCCCCCTGGAACTGCAGTAGCAAATGGTTGGGAGCACTGGGTGCTAGGAACTGAACCCAGGTCCTCTAAGAGCAGCCAGTGCTCTTAACCTCTGAGCCATTTCTCCAGTCCCATTCTATTATTTTTGTAGTTCAGAAGCTCTTTCCCCATTTTGAAAGTACATCATCTGTATTTTCATCAACTTATATTTCTTTTAAAATTTTATTTTTACTGCCCAGTTTTGTATTCACTTATTTTACTGTTTAGGTGAGGTCCTACTTTAATTTTTCTGCTAAGTGATAGTGGCTCCATTTTAACATCGATAAAGCTCATGGGCCTTTATTAACCTTGAGGTATGCCTCATTTATTTATTTATTTATTATTTGCCCCCCCATGGTAGATAAGCTCTTTACTACTGAGCCACAGCCTCAGCCACCCAGATAAACTTAAAAAAAGTAATTTCACACGGAACATAGGTGATACTTTTAGTTAGGTATGAAGAATGTAGCTTGCCAGGGCTCTGCTCAGTGTCTGCTACCGGTCAGCAGTGTGACAGTGAGTTATCAAATACGGAAGTTGTTTTATTGTGAGTTTGGGGTTATCTTCTTAGTCTGTTAACACTGATACATAGTATCCTGTCTGTCAGACTTTTTTTCTGCTGTAAATCTGAAGGTAAAAGCTGTACTCTTTGTTAGTTGCTGGTTGATATTTTATTAACATTGACATTCTATATTAAAACTATGTGAGGAAAAGCAAAAATTTGCCAGAAATTACAGAATATCCTAATGTAGTTGTTAAAAATTAAAAAAAAATTCTTATTCTTATCTTTAACCACAAGAGGTCTCCAAAGGATTTCATATTTTATGAATTACAATTTAGACTATAAAATCCTTCACATTTATTTTATTTCTCAAACTAGACTTATTTACTTTGTATCATATTTAAGTATTAATCAAAGGTGATAGTAAGCTAAAATGATTATTTCTAAATAATGACAAACTATCAGTTTTTCTTGGGTTTTTTTTTTTTAAACTTTTAAAAAGAGATTTAAAAAAAAGTTTGTTTTTTTTTTTGTGTGTGTGAGTGTGGTGGCACATGCCTTTAATCCCAGCACTTGGGAGGCAGAGCCGGGCGGATTTCTGTGAGTTCAAGGCCAGCCTGGTCTACATAGTGAGTTCTAAGATAGCTGGGGCTACAGAGAGACCCTGTCTCAAAAAGACCAGAAAAAAAATAAAATTTTATGTGTGTGAGTGTATTGCCTGCATGTAGGTAAGTGCAGTGCCTGCAGTCAGTAGAGGGTGTCGAATCCTTTGGAACTGGAGTTATAGACTGTTGTTAGCCGCCATGTGGATGCTGGGACTAGAACCTGGGTCCTGTGCAAGAGCAGCCAGGACTCTTTATCACTGTGCCATCTCTCTAGTCCCCTGTTTGTCTTTAAAATATTTTATTTATTATTTTATATGTGTGAGTATATTGCCTGCATGTATGTAAATGCACCTGTGTTGTGCAATGCTTGCTGAGGGTGGGGCATCAGATCTGGAACTGGAATTTCAGATTGTTGTTAACCACCATTTGGGTGCTGGGATCTGAACCCAGGTCCTCTGCTAGAGCAGCCAGTGCTCTTAATCCCTGAGCTGTCTCTCTAGCCGCGGGTTGTTTGTCTTTATATACCATGTTTATCAGAGGGGAACCAGTCATACTGTCTTGTTGCTTTTTTATTTGTTGAAGAACGTATATAGAGAAACAAATAGCAACGACTTTTAGATGCTTAGTTTAGAGATTTTATGTTTATAGAACTAGTTAAAAGAAAAGCTATGGAAAGCCATCCATAAAATTAATAAATATTATTACTATTTGCTAGATCTCAGATTCAGTTTTGAGGTTAACATGGGGAACGTAGTAGATGATACTCAGTTTTGAGTTCATGGAAAGGGGAGCATTCTGGGCACTGGCATAGCCAAGGAAGTCTGTGGAGGAGGTTGGAGTGCCTGGGGACATTTGCTGGACAAAGACTTTGAATTCCTGGGCTGGGGGGGGGGGAAGGACATGTTGTGGGAGTGGAGATGATTCAAACTTGAGCACACAAGTGGGAAGGGTTAGAGAAGTGTGTAGCTAGGGGAGAGACACTCTTGATTAGGAGGAAACTTTTATGCC